GTAATTATGTGCCCACTGGATGCAACAAATGCCTCGTTTGTAATGGGTTTTATTGGTTTTGTCTTGTCATGCCGGGACACGGCATCACAGTATGGTAGGGGCGTAACATTTCACACGCTTGAGGTATTCGGCCAATCACAACGCACTGGATAGCTGGCCAAACAGAGCACACCTCGCTTTTCAGACCGATGAGCTTTGTAAAAATCGACGCGTTTCAGAAAGGCGGGGCATAGAGGAGCAACAATAATGTACATTATGTGGAAAATAATGTGTTTTTTTTACCTTAAACCGCATAAACACATTGCATTACACCAAATACACAACATAATGTTCTTTTTTAGCAACGTCATGACCCCTTTAAATAAAAATAAGTCAATAGAACAGAAAAAGAATAGATAATGCTTGTGTTAGAAGGTCATTATTTATAATAAATAAAAGAAAATAAGTAGAAAGAATAGAGAATGCTAGTGTTAAAGGCTCTTTCTTTTTAAATAAAACAAGTAGTTAGAATAGAAATAGAATCGAGAGTGCTAGAGTTAGAGGGTCAAATAAAGATGAAAGAGATGTATTTTCAGCCGTTTCTTGAAAATGATTAAGGACTCAGCTGCTTGGATTGAGTTTGGCAGGTCATTCCACCAGGAGGGAACAGTCTCTCAAATTGTAGCAGAATGGTTACATTAATGTATGTGTATATTAATGAAGCAAACTGGTTGGCACTCTCACCTGTTTATGTTTTGGGGTCATGTACTTGCTCTGATCAGAAAGAGTCTCAGTTCTGCTGATCAGCTTTGAAAAGTCTTCATTAAATGAAAACCATTTCCCTGTCATTTGTCTCCTGAGGAAAGGCTACAAACAGAAGCTCTTTATTACTTAATATTAACTCACTCCACTATCAAACATATACATTCAGTTAATTATCAATTTCCAGTTGCATAATCACAGACATTATTGTTTATTTTTATACTTCAGTGATTTATTTACTTCAAGAATCCTGCACATATATGGTACTGAGTTGTATTAAAATAAATACGTCATAAAGGTTGTTTGCCTGTTACAATCTGCATGACACTGAGAGTCTGGTGCGACTCTCAAACTACTGCCATTGTTTAACAATGAGAAAAGTGTGCATTTCAGAAGCTCACACCTTGACATCTGTTTTGAAGTTCTCCATCACAGCTTGACTCAATCTGGTGGTCAGTCCATCTATTTCGTTTTGAACCAGCCCTAGCTGAATCGGGCAGGTGTCTTGATAGCTCTCCATGTGCTCTCTGGAGAAAAAAAAATATTGAAATGATATAGTATTATAGTACTGTAGTGTCAGCTGTAAAAAAGAGAAACTAGGGCTGGGCGATATAGCTAAAAAATTTGTCACGATATAATGTTTCATATCATTTGGTATCTATAATTATTGAATTTTTTTTATAACCTTTCTTAAACAAAGAGCAGTAGAAAAAAAGTTTAAATTTAACCACTGTATTTTTAATTTACCCAATTTATTAAGAAAAAACAACACCTTATTTTAGTTAACAGTCAAACACAAAATAAAATTGAAACAAATATCTCCTTATATTTTATATGCATATTAAAGGCAGGGTATGTGATTTTTCAAAAACACTTTAGAAAACTGATTCGGGCCGAATCGCAAAACAAACTTGTAGCCAATCAGCAATAAGGGGCATGTCTACTCGTGATGTGGAGGAGAGGGCTTTCAGTGCATGGTACGGACATTAGCCGAGCCGAGCGACAGAAAGATAGAGATGGCGGATAAAAAAACAAAAGAGGAAAACGTCTGCGGAAAGATAAGGCAAGAAGTAGGACCCGTGTAAATATCGGATCAGCTTTCCAGCGCTGGAGAGAACTCAAGGAGCGGAGGCCTGCGATCGGACGCCGAGGTTGCTTTGTTTCTTCTCAATAGGTGAGTAACACCGTGTCTACAACAGCTAAAGTCTGACTACACTGGACGCGATCAAACGACCGTTGAAAACCATTTGAAATTTGTGTCAGCACGTCATAAATAGAACCCGGCAGCAGTTTTCTGTCGGGGATTTGTTGCGCTGCGCCGCTCACGTCCGTAGACACGGTGTAACATTGGTTTTGCTTTGTTTCACAGAACTAATCGTTGCCTGGGTTGCGTACGTATATGTGGGGCGGAGCTATCAAAATAGGGGCAAGACCCTTTTGGGATAGGGGCGTGTTTGTTTTGGTGATTTCAAATATCAACATTGGCTAACAGAAATCACTTACTCTGCCTTTAAATAAGTGTTAAGGAAACATTTGGCCTGTCTCCTGAGGCCACAGGAGGGCGCAATGAGCAAAATAATGCACCTCATTAAATTGTTTATTCAATGCAATGAAATATCGACTGTCTATAAAAAAAGTGCATACCCTCTAAACTAATATTCATAAATCAAATATGATTTCGTAAATTGCATAAACAATTATGAACAAAACAGCATCATGTAGTTATGCATAGCTTAATACAAAGCGCCGATCACACAACTGCCTTTTAAAAACATATGAGACGCAGTGGAATGGAATAAAACCATGTTTTCTAAAAGTTGAACCTCTTCCTTTTTAACTTTACATGATTTTCTATTTATCTCTTGTGCGAGACGCGAGTGCAACAGTCAGTTGTGCGTCTCAAAAATGCGCTGAATATACGTTCTGTGTGAATGGCTTGGTTTTGGTTTTAACCTAACCAATATCTTCTCTGCATTGAGCTTCTATATTTCTCTAATATTTTCAATGAAAAATTCAGCAGCGACGCATCTTGTGGGTTCAACTGGAGAAACAAACAAAAACATTAAAATGCAACAACGACACTTAAATCATCATCACCGCATCTTGTGCGCCGCTGAGGCTCCTTGATGCACACCTAAAATTCAAATAGGCCTACACCGTTTTTGCATTCGAATGCAAATTTTTATTTTAAATTCGACTAATATTTATTTTTTTCTCCTCATCTCAGGCACTCATTTCAGCATGTTTGTGTGTTCTGTTGGCTGTCTGCTTGTCACTCATAACACGCGCCTTTTAATGAAAAAAGCGTGAAACTATCGTGTGCTATATCGAACGTTATCGATGATGGTGTACCGTAGATAAATATCGATACCGTTTTATCGCCCAGGCCTAAATAGTTTATAAAATGTGGATTTTGTCTGTTTGCAGTTTGTATTTTGGTCTTTATGTCCAATTATGTCCAGTTGTAAAATAAAAAGTAGAATAACAACATTTGTTTATATTTTGTTCAATCTTTATATCCAAAGATTAATTCTTCTAGAAAGAACTGTAGACTGGCATACAAAAAGTGCAAAAAATAAATAAATTAAAAATCACAATAGTATTATAAAAGAAACACCAACGTTTACCTCAAAATCATTTAGTTCGCATACATGAAATACATACAAATATGTATGAATAAATACTTGTTAGTGTATGCTAGTTTGTTAGTGTAACACTACCATTCTAAAGTTTGGGGTATGTGAGATTTTTTATGTTATTTTAAAAGAAGTGCCCTATGCTCACAAAGGCTGCATTTACTTGATCAAAGTTACAGTAAAGAAGTAATATTGTGGTATAATAATAGAATTCAAAATAACTGTTTTCTATTTGAATATATTTTAAATTATAATTGCCTGTGATGCCAAAGCTGAATTTTTAGCTGCCATTACTCCAGTCTACAGTGTCACATGGTCCTTCTGATTTGCTGCTCAAGAAACATTTTTTATATTTGAAGAAACGTTTCTTATTATTATCAGTGTTGAAAACAGTTGTGCTGCTTTTTTTGTGGAAACTATGATCCTGAATACAAGTATTCATTTCATGAAAAATTTACAAAAATAATTCGACTAATATTTATTTTTTTCTCCTCATCTCAGGCACTCATTTCAGCATGTTTGTGTGTTCTGTTGGCTGTCTGCTTGTCACTCATAACACGCGCCTTTTAATGAAAAAAGCGTGAAACTATCGTGTGCTATATCGAACATTATCGATGATGGTGTACCGTAGATAAATATCGATACCGTTTTATCGCCCAGGCCTAAATAGTTTATAAAAACAGTTGTGCTGCTTTTTTTGTGGAAACTATGATCCTGAATACAAGTATTCATTTCATGAAAAATTTACAAAAATCTTAGTGACCCCAAACTTTTGGTAGCGATTCACATTTGGCAAATTTGGATTACAGCTAATAAACTTAAGGGTTTCTGGTTGCCTAACAACAAAGCAGACTAGAGGATGAATTTACCATAATAAAACTGCTAATTTTCTGCTTTGTAATATTTAAGAAAATTTTTTATAATGGATTCATATCTAAAATCTCTTAATTTTATGAAAATCCTCTCTCTCTCTCTCTCTCTCTCTCTCTCTCTCTCTCTCTCTCTCTCTCTCAGATCTCCCTTGTTTAGTTAGAATAGCCCAAGGTCTTGTTTTGGAGAAGCACATCCAGTGGTTTCCATCATTCTGGCATTCCCCACTGTCAAGGACTTCCCCTGCCAACTGCCTGACTGCCTCTATATAGCACAAATTCCAAGAAATCACGTGACTGATTGTTATGTTTGTTTGTTTTTTATTCATGACATTTAAAATGACTCGCTCAAAAACAGCTGGTACCTAAACGGAGTGATTATGAGATAAAATTAGATAAGATCAAATGAAAATTCTTCCATTGATATAAATGTGAATGGCAACAAATAGCTTTTCTCTGTCTATTAAAGACCTCCTGGCTTTGTAAACACAAAATCTTTCTGAATGGGTGCTCGTGAAATAATTGAACTAGACTAATGCGGCTAGCTATATAATATTTCTGCTCCTCCCAAACACTTAAAAAAAAAGAATTTTCAATGAAAATGACGTTTGGGCAGTGTGTTGTGTAAATGACTTACTTCAGGGCACTAAAGCTGTTGATGTAGCTGATGTGATACTCTGCCCAGAGAGAGGAGTTAGACAGAGGACTGCTCCACTTAACAAACGCTGATTCAAACCTACAAATAACCACAACCAGTCATACAGAGAAATAAAACAAACAAACAAAAATAATTAAATACTGCCCAAATTCTATGCAATAAAACTAAAAATAAACCAATGACTTAATTTATTAGATATTATTGAGGAGAAATAAACATGGAAATGTGTTTCATGGGATGTGGTTTTGAGTCATATGTAGGTGTGTCATATGTATAGATTGGCAAAAAGAAACTGGGAAATGATATGCCAGTCTTTTTTACTATAATAACCGTAAAATTAGCACATAACAGCTGTTAAGTGAAAGAAACTTGAATAGTTGTCCTCTGTACATAAAATATAGACTACAGAAGCTTTTAGAGCTGTAGATTTACAAAACTGACTTCCAATTAGCATGTTACTGTAGTTATTTATCACAAACCGTTTTGGAAAGGTCTTCAGTTCCTCCAAACAGGAACGCACAACCTTCTGCTCAAGGTTCACATCGATTCTTCTGGATCCTTGTACATGCCCTTTAATATTCTGGGAAAGAAAACAACATAAATGTGTTTTGTCCCCTTGTGCTGTTTTTTAATTACAGTGTCCTCGAAAAGATTTGGCCACTTAAACCACTTACAAATGTCAAAATGGCATCAAATTAGATTTATAAAATATTGAAACCAAGCGGCATCTGCACACAAATGATGCATTGGTAATGTACTGATCTTACATAGACAACAAAGCACTTGAACATGCTTGATCATGAACTCATAATTACAACTTCATAAATGTGAAGCAGGAAATTTCTAATAGCATGTGAAGACAGCATAAGTTTCCTAATTAGTTTTGGGACCACTATTAGTTAGTTAAAATACATGTCCAATACTGCCCTCTATTGGTAAACAAATGCCCTCGTGAGTTTGTGGCAGTATAAATGGGAAATCAAAGGACTTTGCTTTAACGCTCATTTTACTTCCATGTAAAACTGAGTTAAGGTGAGCTAATTATGAAAGTCTGCAGTCTTACAGTCCAGATGTCCATGTCAATGTGTGAGGTGTAGATTCCCTCATCAATCACTGGTTTTCTCTTTTCTCTCCACATGTCCTCATTCTCCAACTCAATAATTCGGTTGAGTGATGTTTTCATGTCAGCCTGTTAAGAGCACAGATTACATTGAATTCAGAAACTCTCAGATATCATCTGACATCATACTGTCAGTACGATCTCACTACTAGTGTTATCTCAGATGACAAATATGCTTTTATGCTACCTGTAAGCAAGCACAGTATTTGTCTTTTATCTGATTAAGGAAATCGTTGTCCAGTGTCAGCACTCTCTGATCTTCCTTCAACTCAGGCTGCAGAGAGCTGCTTCCCATTACCTTCTCACTATGGAAACAGCAATTAAATTCATAATTAAAGCCATAATCATAACCTTTAAAATAATAGTACAGTCACATCTATAATCATAAATCTCATAATCTGTCATAAAACATGTCTCTCAACTCTCAAGGGATATCCATTAAATATATGGTTCTGTGCATTATTTTGAAACCAAGTTCTTCAAAATGAATCTCATCAACTGGATCACAAATGAGTATCCATATAAGGATTGAAGGCGGCTGGAATAAATCAAGATGAACTAGTCATCACACTGAACCAAAACTGTGTTTGGGTCATTTAAAGGGTTAGTTCACCCAAAAATGAAAATTAGCCCATAAATTACTCCCCCTCAAGTCTTCCTAGGTGTATATGACTTTCTTCTTTCAGACGAATCCAGTCGGAGTTATATTAAAAACTGTCTTTGATCTTTCAAGCTGTTTCATGACACTCAGCGGGTGTTGCATGCATCAGTCCAAAAGAAGTTAAATAAAAAGCGCCCATCCATAAAAAAAGTGTCTCACACGGCTCCGGGGGGTGAACAAAGGCCTTCTGTAGCAAATCGATGCGTTTTTGTAAGAAAAATATCCATATTCAAAACGTAATAATCACTTTAATGTAGCTTGCGCTCACTGTTGTACACTGGAAGTAGTTCCGGGTGGATGACGTATTGAATTCGGCTTTGCGCATGCGCCACTCAGAAGTGACGCACGTGGAAGCGCAGCGGAAAGATCAGAACAAAACAACAGTCACTAATTAGAAGTACAAAACGAGGATTTGTAAAGAAGAATGTCGGAGGATTTCGATATAAGCCAAGAGGAGACTGGTTTTCCTTTGCTAAAGTAAGGAAACTTTGCTTCCTTTGCCTCTGTAAACATACGTTGGTTTTCACGAGACTCACCAGCGCATGCGCAACGCTGACCTCATACGTCATCCTCCCAGAACTGCTTAGTTTACAACAGTGAGCGCAAGCTAGATTCAAGCGATTATTACGTTTT